GTATGTACCGTATGTATGTTTTTTGGATCCAATTTGCCGTTATATTAAAGCGGTTTCTGGGGATTTCCCATTCCATCATAGGAGTTAATGAGTTATAGGCTGTCTACTTACTCTTACAAACGTATAGTTATATTGGCATATTCCACAAGTACCTTTATTCTTTACAGTTCAACATATACATATCGTCATATTGACAATAGCAGATAACAGGAGATGGATCCTGTTCTCCACAGGTCACGTAAATCAGTATTCATTTGAACATGATGAGGTACAGAGTCCTGTAGTTAACAAGACCATGGCCTACTCTCGCTTGCGTCTCTTATTTTTCTCGCTGCTATTTGCACTCCAATGCAAAGGTAAGGTCATTCGTGCTAAATAATATATGTAGTGGGAAGTTCGAAGAATTTTAGTAATAAATTTGAGGTCTAATGTTATATTAATTAATAAATGGTGTAGAGGAAATACTGTCCGTACCTACTGTTGTGCTGTGTTGACTTAGGCTACAATGACCTACGGTTGTACTACTCATTGAAAATCATGTTTGTTTTTTCTTGGGACAGTTTCAACTATGAACTCACGTATTTCTTATATAATTTAATGCTATATGCTTAATAATTAGCAATACGAATGCTGGTGAGAATGAGTAGTGGTTAAATCCCGTTCATTTACCATGAAATTTGTCACATTAGTTAGCTACTGACTTCAACATGTCTTTGTGCAATCACACACAGATGGTAGCAGTGAGGCAACTTGCCAAAACAAAATAAATAAAACAACGCGATGCTGTCAAACATTAAATTAAAACATTAACGTAAAAAAGTATTATAATATTCTATTAAGATATATAAGAAATTAAGTACACAATATAGATTGGTCAGTTTTGTCACCGTGTATGCAAGATGTCTGTGGCAAATTATAACCTATTGGATTGGATTGGGTTGTATTGTTCATTTCGATATCCGTGTTGATAATGATGGAGTTTTTGTTCTTATACAATAGTGTAATCGATGATTACCGAACCTTTCTTCACTACTGTTTTAAAAATTCTTTCTGCCCTTTGTATGTTTTGATAATTTTGTTGTCTCTTCGGGCCCGTAGTATGATTGCTATTGGTGAGACCAATTGGGGTCGGGGGCAGAGTCGGTTGGATCATAGCTTCGATTTTTCATAACTATATGGCAAATTGAATGCCCAATTAAAAATATGGACCTTTCCGATTTGGGCGCGCACCCATTACTCCGCGCACCAATTTAAATTTCAATATATTCAACAGATCCGGATCGGAGAATTTTTTTACTCTGTCAATCGTAGGCCTATACTTTGATTGTAATTTGTTGCCGTTTTTTATTCTTTATAATTTAAATTTAGATGTATACTTTTTAATGAGTGTGATTTATATCTCCTTCATTTCAGGCTACGCATTACAACCACAAGTTAGGCCAAGTGACTTCACAGACTATTGTGTGCCCGATAAAATCAACAACATATTTTTCGAACAAAATTTAGAATATAAATTTGAAAACGACAATGAGATAAATATAGAGAAAATCGCCTGTTCTATAAAGTTGACAAGTCTTCAAACAGTCTACATTGGACTTTATGTTGTTCTAAATGATGACGAATTTGACGAAAATGGCAACAAAATTTGTGACGAAGGAAACTACATTGAGGTTCTTGATACCAAGTATAATAGTCTGCATGTGTGGTGTACAAATGAAGGGAGATACCTGTATTCTAATAACTCTGAGGTCTTTATAAAACTTCGTCTCAGACGATTCACAAAAGTAACAAGTTTTATGCTAACAGCTGATGAATATACCGCCAAAATATTTGATACCGGTGAGTAATCGCATGGTTAGCAGAAGAAAACAATTTATTTTCATTTCATTTATTTACTCCAAAGAACAATAAAACGATAAACACAAAATAACAGAGAAAGGGAAAAAACAGTAACCATTGAATAATTTCACTATCTATAAACATTTTTTTAACTCTACATTTATATTATACGAATCAAATATAAAATATCCTTGGCACCCCTGCTCAACTCATTTTGTTGTTTCTTGTAGAAAGATTTAAAATAAATGATTAATATTTTCAAACTTGACAGAAAGAGACCGGGGAGTTTCGCCGAGAGCAT